TTCTGATGTCCGATCAAAAATTCAGTGTAGGCTGAATCCATATCTTCATTTCTATCACACACTGTATCGATGAATAATTCTGAGTCAGAATAAGGTGTTTCATGAACACAATCAATGCGTTTCTTTGAGTGTCCTTTTCTCTGGCTGGATTTACACATACTTGCGAAATGATTCCATTTATCGCAAGTATCATGTTTACCTCAGGCTGGACACTTTTGACCACTGAAACGTCTGAATCCGCAATTTTCACACTGTTCTGTTTCCCTGCCCTGCCGTTTGTCACCTTTATCATGCTTGGAATAGTGTTGTCTCCCCTTGTGACTGTTACCACGGAAACTAAAAGAACTGGCTTTCTTCTTACTTCGTGAACAAGAAATGTGATCCACTTTTTCTGTTCCTCCTGACATACTTTCGACTTGTGCTTTCGAAAGTTCATATGAACGGGAAATGTCTATAGCCTTTGTCAAATCTAAATCTTTACCTTCCTACAGCAGTTTTTCTCGAACTTCACGTGAATTTGTCCCATACACAATTGCATCTTGGACCATTTCATTAGAATTTACAAATTCACAATCACGAACTAGCAATTTCAGATCAGTTTCTACACTTTCAGATGATGCCTGTGTTCTGTTGTGGAATTTATAACGTGCTACGATAGGGTTAGATTTCGGACTGACATACTGTTCAAAACAATCATGACAGGGCTTCAGCTTTTTGGGGGACACGTGTGGCCCAGTCCTCTAAGGCGCCGCGATTCGCTGTGCAGAGTTGCGTCCCTTGGGCATGCCAGAAACCTATGATTGTTGGTTCGAATCCCGGTTCGCCCCGATTATGTTTCTAGGTTTGTCAGCACCATACCCGTGCTCGTGGGTTTCGCCGAAGTTGTAAACGTCTTAGACCTGCATCACTTCGGGCTTTCCTCCCACATTAAGATGACACGCCGTGATATAACTGGAATGCTGTTAAAAGCGGCGTTAAACCCAACTCACTCACTCACTAAATGTCCATTGACCAAAACATTGACAACGTAAACATATATCTATACAAATAAACTAAATTCATGAATACGGTAAAAGAAACGCTACCAACCATCATTGTTTGTTCAGGAAAAAAACAGTACCAATGTCAAGGAAGGTACTTGTATTGTCAACATCAACATCATTACAAGTTATGCCGTGAATGAGAACAAAATGAAGGTATTATCATGATTATGTCCACAGATATAAGGATGGAGGATGGTGTCTGTTGTTCAGTCATCGATCAATCGTCAAGACTGGAATCAGCACATGAAACTCCCCTTAATCCTTCATATGTCACAATTTTCAGTCAATATTGTGTATGCCCGCCACTGGCATCAATGCACGCCTCAACTCGACAACGGGCAGAAGATGTGAGACTTCTGATCACAAGAAATGGGATTCGACAACATTCTTCACGGAGGGCCTGTGCAAACTGATCCTTATATAAGGGGGACCTGGTCGTCAAGATGAGCCTACAAGTGTTCTATAGGTGATATGTTTGTGCTGGCCAAGGCAAGATGTTGTACATCTTCCCGGGGCAAGAGAGTTAACCGACTATAAAAGTCCAGTTTCCACCCTTGCCGAACTAGGCTAGTATTATGGAGTTACGTTTTGGCTGGACTAACGAGTCTATGCATAGTCCAATCAAAATCGCGCAACGAAATCGAAATCCGGTTCGTAAACTGTCTTGCCGATTTCGTTCGATTGCAGGATTTGCAAATCATTTGCACCGCCAACTCGTTGTTAACAGATATTTTCCGGATCTTTTCATGTTTTTAATCAAGGTGCTCACGTTATTTGATGCACGTCGCGCGTTTTATCACAATATAGATCTTGATTATCGATCAGATCGTCTTGACTTGGCGCCGCCATTTTGTTTGAAGCAAATGCAAGTGATACGAGAGGTGGTATGTGATTGGTCCATAGGAGAGACATAGAAGGGACATAACACGTAATAGCCACTGGTGGCGCCACGATCGAGCCCAGGAATTCAAACCTAGTTCGCCAAGGGTGGAAACTGGACTTTTATAGTCAGTTAACTCACTTGCCTCGGGAAGATGGATGTTATATGGGGTCTTGTGTTGTCTTGATGAAACAGGGTCTGTCCTGCTCTGTTGCAAGAACGGTAGTACACCAGGGTAGAGATATTGGTCAATGTAACGCTGTCCAATGATGTTTCTTTCCAAAATCACCCGATCTTTCTTGACCTGGTCACAGCATTGACTTGGCAAGAGACAAGACTACAGATGCCGCTTTGACAGGGCAACAGATGCCGTATTGACAGACAAACAGTCCGACATCTTGAACGCAACAACGTGACGTGCGTTCTCCTTGTCCCCGGTAGACACAACTTTTTCCATCTCCTTGGAAAAGCTGGAATCTGCTCTCTCCTGTGAACATGTCATTATTTGGAGTGGTCGAGCACATCGATATCTGTGTTCCGGTGTCAGCAGGATGTTTCGTAGTTGTGTGAAAGCTCTGAATTTGTACCGAAGTAGTCTTCTGGACACTGTCCAGCAACTGACAGGATGGCTGTCGCAGCTGATGACGTCACCGTGATAATATGACTCATCAGATGGAGAATACGTATGTAGCGATTTCCTGGATGGTGGTGACATGAGGTCTGCCCCTCCCTAGGCCTGTCTCTTCTACGGTGACCCATACCCGCCACTGGTGAGATCATTTTTCACTGTATGCCTCTATATTTTATCTTTATATTTTAGATACTTCCAATTACTTTGTAACACAGTGGCTTTTGCTTGGTAATATTATCTCCATTAAATGTCTTCAAGATAAGTCATCCCCAGCCCTCTCTGCATAAGGAGGGGCGGTCGGGTAGCCTAGTGGTTAAAGCGTTCGCTCGTCACGCCGAAGACCCGGGTTCGATTCCCGACATGGGTACAATGTGTGAAGCCCATTTCTGGTGTCCCCCGCCGTGATATTGCTGGAATATTGCTAAAAGCGGCATAAAACCATACTCATTCACACTGCATAAGGACCAGCACTGAGCCTCTTAATGGAATGTCATTTTGTAACTTGAAACTCCACAATCTCTGCTCAGATCCGAGCACATTCTGACCACTGGAGGATATAGTACAATGGTGAGATCATTTTTCCCTGTATGCCTCTATATTTTGCCAGATACTTTCCGTTTCAAATTGGCATACCACGTGTGACCAGAATTACTTCCAGATCAGTGCCATGGCAATCGACAGGTTGGGAATTGTACCCGTAAGATTGGGCTTTGATAGATTGAGCCAGATAAAATATAGAGGCATACAGTGAAAAATGATCTCACCAGTGGAAGTATCTGGCGGTCGCCAGAGAAAATATACAGGCATACAGTGAAAATATAGCCTCATCAGTGGCGGGTATGGGCCACCGTACTCTTCCGCTCAGTATGCCTGAATCAGGCCAGGCGCCTGGTTACTTGGTCATGCGTTGCTCTTTGATGTATCATACCAACATGTTCTCTTTATTGTAGTGTTAGGGGCGGTCGCGTAGCCTTGTGGTTAAAGCGTTCGCTCGTCACGCCGAAGATCCGGATTCGATTCCCGACAGGATTACATGTGTGAAGCCCATTACTGGTGTTGCCGCCGTGATAGTGTTGGAATATTGCTGAAAGCGTCCTAAAACCATACTCACTTACTCACTCACTCACTCACTCACTCACTCACTACAGGTTGCGAGGTCTACGCATGTTGTGCACGATGAAATTGACTTCGCTCCCTTGGACAGACGTGTTGCTAATAAGACTATTAAGAGGTCGGTGTTACAAGTCGATACCAGACTTCTTTAATAGTTGTTTGATAGAAGTTAATTTACAAAGGAATAATCATGTCAAAGCTAGGTAAGTATAGAAGGGCGAGGAGTCATCCCACAGATGACATCCTCACCTTGTCAGCTTGCTGACGGGGTTAACCTCTTTGGTCATGTGGACAAGGCGTTCGACCTCGGATCAGAAGGTCCGTGGTTCCAATCCCATCACGGGACTCGGAGATTTTATGGCCGCCACATAAGCATGGCCAAATGATACATTCTCAGGCTCGAGAATTGGCCGATAATGACATAAATTACATTGAGAAAGAATTACAAATAAATCTCAAGCATTGTCAAAACCTAGAATTGTCACTGGTCTGTCTCTACACAAAAGCGCAGATAAAGTAACGTATTCCATTTTATTTTTAAAGCAAATAAATTCCCTTCATTGTCACGATACCTCTCAATTGTTTTATCCATACAAATTTGCTGTCACCGTTTTCACAGTCACTGAGTACCTCAGATCAGCACATACTGTTGTGCGTTATTGAACTCGCCACTAGAACACATTGTTAGCCGAGACAGGACACGCACATTTCCATCGTACTACTCGTCGCGGACCACCCGCTATCCCTTTACTTCACAATATAGTCATACATAGTAATACGGTCACAGGTCACATCTCAACTTATCCTGCCTTACTAGTACTAATATAGCAAAGTTCAGCTTTTGTGTTCGCTGGATCAGTTTTGGAAACTGGTGATGGCAGAGGCCATAAAATGGTCTCTTTTATGATTTCTGGTGATAGGCAGGATGGGAAGAGGTCTTCAAAATATGGTCGAGTATTTTCGTGCTACCATCCTCGCCAGAACTATTCTATTTTTGTTGCATACATAAGAATTAAGTCCGAATGATAATAGTGATTTGAAAACCATTATAAAGTTCATTTTCAGGTGTTGGCGGGTCGTTCTTTTGATATCAGTTTAATGAGATTGTGTCTCTGGCAGTCACGTGACGACTTCCTAATTACTTGTTTCTTCTCAGAAAATACATTCCATTGGGGAAAGGGAATGGGGTGTTGTCATCTTTCAATGTAGTAATGACAACATTTCGATGAATGACCGAGGGGGAATCGAACTCATATATCTCTATGGTAGCAAGAAAGACCACAATATATGATTCATATGGAGTGATGTCCCTTTGATGACGATGCGATCAAGCTCCTTACCAGCGCGCGACACCTTCGTTACACTCTCGGTATAGAGAGCTCCGCGAACGGACTATCGCTATGAGGAGCTTGACAACACGAGAGATAGGCAGAGTATAGCGAAACAACTTGCAGATCCATGTAACTTCCTAGTTGTTCACCGAACCAGGAGCCATTTCTGTCCCCATTTCTCACCGAGGTAAGAGTGTTCCTCGTTTTGAAAGCCACGGGAAACGAGCGAGAAGGAATCTGATAATGCAAGGCGCTGTGGAATGACTGAATCGTGATTAGATCCTCAGCCACAGACTCGTGTCTCCTTGTTCCTACAGACTAACATCTAGTCTCTGAAATGAACATATCGTACAGAAAAAAAACAGTTGTTCAATTATCTTAATAAAAATATAATAAAAGGGAGCAAAGAGACTCTCTTCATTTTCAGATACTGCAGTAATCTAGACTTGCCAAACATTATAGACTTGCATGGGCTGTATTTGATATATATTTGTATTAGGGTCTGTAAGACAGACTATTGTTCCCACTGTATGTATGAAACGTGAACAGGAATTTTAGGGGTGGGGCTCTGTGTAAATTGCTTCCACATCAAAATAATTTCAGATGTTTTTTTGTCCTTTTCTGTGATGTAAGTATCTCCCCTGACCAACTAAAGCACACAGTTTACTTTGTTGACTAAGAGAGCGTATAGGCCTACAGTTGAACACGGATAGAGCTAACAAATGGATACATGAACTATTACAAAATCCCTGATTTATCGCCTATATATTATCATAGAAAATTTATGTACATAACAAACTCTCTACAGTAGGGCTTCAACGAGTACTCGGGGCCGGGTCGGTTTTACTGGGACTCGAGTACTCGATAAGGGGAGATCACTCTGTTTCAATGTTCAATTGTTCATCAATATATTGATTAAAGCTCCAAAAAATATTGTTTGAATAATGTATTCTTTGTAGAAAGTAGATGTACATTAGAACAATTGAGAATGTCACATAAAATAGACGTATTTATTGTTTTTCCTTCCCGACTTTAAGAAATTGAATGTATCAAGGCGATTATTGCTTCTTTGCTCCGACATCAAATGCCAAGTGTATTCCCTTACACAGATTAACAACTGATTAGCTGATATATATGTGTTATTTCAGTGCTTACAAATCAAGCGACAGGTCGACAGTTTGGTACAGTTTGAAAACGTGACCAACTCATGAATGAATGAACTTATAGTACTACATTTCAATATTTAGCGGCCTTAGTCTTGCAGCCCAGCAGCTGTGTATACGTGTATGTCACGTGATGCACATTATCGATTTTCTTCCTGCGAATTATTGTTCGTGCTTGTTGGCAGGTGTCGAATGAAACGCTGATCGTCAATATGTATTCAATATGTATTGTAGTTTTTGTAGATGTGGCGTAATGTTTTTGAAGGTCGTGATTAAGATTAGTGCAGTTACAAGCAAACATTAACACTGAACACTTCCATACACTTTGACAGATAAACAAGTTCCGTGGACACTCTCTATTTACATTTCAGTGTAGTTCAATTATACCTATAACATGTTTTAATACTTTTAGATGGCAATTTTGATCTAATGAACCAATATTCTTAAAGGACGTCCTATTTTCGGGTACTCGAGTACGAGTCGAGTTTCACCCCTCGAGTACTCGAGTCCAAAAATTTGGACTCGTGGAAGCCCTACTCTACAGCGACCTAAAGTTTATAGGGAACTGATATCTGATCCTCGACAAGCCCAAATACCACCTATTAGACGTGTATAGCGAACTGAGAAATCTCACTGTGTCAAGTGTCACTGACAATTAGCTACACACAATCAGTGGCAAATCAACACAATCAGCGGTGACGATTCAATCTTGTTGAACTTGTTTTATGTCAGTCTTACCTGTACATGTAATTGGACTAATTTTGTCTGTAGAACAATCATTAAACATTTAAATTTCACAAGATTGTGTTGAAGTGTGCACATGCTATCAATGCAGACATAAAAAGTAAGAAAGACATTGCAGTGGAATTTAATATTCCCAAATCAACATTGAGTACCATTATTAGAAGTGAGACTCCATTCTCGAATCCTGTGTGTCGACTGACCTTTGGCCCCGCATGGAAAAGGTTACAAGCTGCCAATCACCAAGACATAGAAGAAGACCTTTTGGTTTCAAGCTCCGAAACATTCCGCTTAGTGGTCCGTTACTGCAGACCAAAGTTGACAAACTTGCAGTGAAATTACCGTATTCGACGTATTAAGCGCCCAGGGCGCTCTCAAAATTAGAAATGGGGGGCTCTTATTAGAATATAGTTTTGGTGAAAGAGTTGAGAGATCGTAAATTTCGTGGTTTATGCTGACAGCCTGAAATGATACAAAAGAAAAGTCTGTGTGTATTAAACATGACAGATATATTTTCCCAGGATTTAATTGCCCGTAATTAAGGGTGCATATAACACACGAGTTCATATTATTCACGAATAAGTAAGTCCTGTGTACATTGATCAATCGGAAGGGTGCTAATTGGGATTGTTCACTAGCCAATATATATCGCCGTGGGCGCTTATTAGAGTGGGGTGGTTATTACGACGAATATGGTGGGCCAAAGCAATTTCACTTGTAACACTGCAAGGATCAACTGTTTCAAGCAGAGAGGAGGATGGTAGCCAAATCTGCACATGGTGAATGGGGAGTGGGGTGGGATGGGGTGGGTGTTGTCAGCCTGATTAGGTGTGGGACCATTCACTGACACATCAATGCATCATGTTTTACAATAAATTTCCATGTGACTGTTATTGCAGATTGGCATTCTGATACAAAACAAGGTGTTACTTAGTTTATAAGTATGTAACATATTGTTGTTCAGCTCAGTAAAACGTCGTGCTTCATAGTATGTTTCAGTGTTTGGCTGTTTGGCATAAAGATTTTTCTATTTCCTTCCAAAATCATACACTTTTGTGTAATTAGATGGTGTCATTGTTTCGTGTCATTTTTGGTTTGCCTGGCAGTGTGTAACATCCCTGCCCAGGTTGTTACTGTAATTTTTTTGTGAAAACTCCTGACGGACACGCATAAACAAGATGGTGAGTGAGTTGGGTTTTACGCCGCTTTTAACGGTATTCCAGTTATATCACGGCGTGTCAGCTTAATGTGGGAGGAAAGCCCGAAGTGATGCAGGTCTCAGACTTTTACCTCTTCGGTGAAACCCACAAGCACGGGTATGGTGCTGACAAACCTAGAAACATAATCGGGGCGAACCGGGATTTGAACCCACAATCATAGGTTTCTGGCGTGCCCAAGGGACGCAACTCTGCACAGCGAATCGCGGCGCCTTAGACGACTGGGCTACCCGTGCCCCCCATAAACAAGATAAATATGATATTGAAAGTGTCAATAATAATAATAATAATAATAATAATAATAATAATAATAATAAACAAGCAAAGTAAAGTGTCCATTCATTTATGTTTTCAGTGAACACCATGACATCCACAAGTTAACGATGGATGTCCAAAGCCAACCACAGAATCCTGGTTCTGTTCCTGAAACATGTGTAATCACAGACTGTGAGATGGCGTTGTTTGAGACAGGTGAAACACAAGAACTGTGCCAGCAAAGCAATTTGAGTGTATCAAGTTTGGGAAATTATTTAAGATGTCAGTGGCAGAATGGAGGCTCGCTTCCAAAGTGTAGTGAGTGTGGGAAAGAATTTGCACAAGCAAGTTACCTGAGGAAACACATGAAACGTCACACTGGTGTCAGACCTTATCAGTGTAGTGAGTGTGGGAAAGAATTCACAGAAAATGGCCATCTGAAGAGACACATGAAAACACATGAAAGTGGTCAGGGTGATGTGAATGGGAAACCTCATCAGTGTGGGGAATGTGGGAAAGTGTTTGCAAGATCAGGTAACTTGCAGACACACATGATGAGTCACAGTGGAATCAAGTCCCTTGAGTGTGATGTGTGTGGGAAAGTATTTAAGACATCATGGAGCATGAAGACCCACCAGAAGACTCTTCACTGTGGAATCAAGCCTTTTAAGTGCGCTGAATGTGGAAACACATTTTCACTAAGAGGTACTCTTGAGGGACACATGAGGATTCACAATGGAGTCAAGCCCTTTGGGTGTGATGAGTGTGGGAAAGCATTTACACAAAAAGGTAATCTGAACACACACATGAGGCTCCACAATGGTATCAAGCCTTATAAGTGTGCTGAATGTGGGAAAGAGTTTGCCCAAGCAGGTACCTTGCAGTTTCACATGACGAGTCACAGTGGACTCCGGCCTCATAAGTGTGATGAGTGTGGGAAAACATTTCCACTCAGAGCCAGTCTGGAGACACACTTGAGAATTCACAGTGGTATCAAGCCTTTTAAGTGTGCTGAATGTGGGAGAGAGTATGCACGAGCTGAGAGCTTGAGGTCTCACATGCTGAGTCACAGTGGGCTCAAGCCCTTTAAGTGTGATGAGTGTGGGAAAAGATTTCCACGTAGAGATACTCTGATGACACACATGAGAATCCACAGTGATAACAAGCCTTTTAAGTGTGGTGAATGCGGGAAAGAGTTTGCACAAAGAGGTAGCCTGAAGTCTCACATGCTGAGTCACAGTGGAGTGAAGCCCTTTGAGTGTGAGGAGTGTGGGAAAACATTTACACTGAAAGATACTCTGAAGACACACATGAGACTTCACAGTGGTATTAAACCTTTTAAGTGTATTGAATGTGGGAAAGAGTATGCACGAGCAGACAGCCTGAGGTCTCACATGCTGAGTCACACTGGAGAGAAGCCATATCAGTGTGATGAGTGCTGGAAAACATTTCCACTGAAAGACACTCTGAAGACACACATGAGGCTTCACACTGGAATCAAGCCTTTTAAGTGTGGTGAATGTGGGAGAGAGTTTGCTCTGAGAGGTACCCTGCAGGCTCACATGACGAGTCACAGTGGACTCAAGCCTTACAAGTGCAGTGAGTGCAGGAAAGCATTTACACAAAGAAGATATCTGAAGACACACATGAGGATTCACAGTGGAATCAAGTCTTTTAAGTGTGGTGAATGTGGGAAAGAGTTTTCTCGAGCTGATCGCCTGCAGTCTCACATGACGCATCACAGTGGTATCAAGCCTTATATATGTAGTGAGTGTGGGAAGACATTTACACTAAAAAGTAATCTGAAAAGGCACATGATCCATCACAGTAGACAGCCTTGAAAGTGTGGTGAGAGTTGGGGGGGGGGGAACATTCACTGCATCAAGATGTCTGAAGACACACGTAGGGCATCATCAGGGAGTCCTGCCCTGAAAGTGTGGTGAGGGTTGGAGGAACATTCACTGCAACAAGTTGTCTGAAGACACACAGAGGGCATCATCAGGGAGTCCTGCCCTGAAAGTGTGGTGAGGGTTGGGGGAACATTCACTGCATCAAGTTGTCTGAAGACACACACAGGGCATCACCAGGGAGTCCTGCCCTGAAAATGTTGTGAGAGTTGGGGGAACATCCATTGGATCGAGTTGTCTGAAGACACACAGAGGGCATCATCAGGGAGTCCTGCCCTGAAAGTGTGGTGAGAGTTGGGGGAACATTCACTGCATCAAGTTGTCTGAAGACACACAGAAGGCATCATCAGGGAGTCCTGCCCTGAAAATGTTGTGAGAGTTGGGGGAACATCCATAGGATCGAGTTGTCTGAAGACACAGAGGGCATCACCAGGGAGTCCTGCCCTGAAAGTGTGGTGAGAGTTGGGGCAACATTCACTGCATCAAGTTGTCATTTGTTGTTACATGTTTTTTGTCCCGACTTACAGACATTGAATATCTACATACATTGTCCTTTGTACTCTGACTTTAGGTCCTGCCAAATAGCATCCTTATGTTTGATGCTGATAATAATAAATATATTATTATATTATTGATAATAGCCACTAAATCAACAATCATACTCAATATCTGGGAACAAACAGTTCCCAGGCCTGAATTCTCCTTGTAGTCTTTGCTCATCATGCAGATCAAAAACCTTCTTCTTACCAGTAGCAGATGACTTTATTTTAGTGACATATACCAGTGGCAAATGTTTCCCACTGTTTCTCTTCCAACCTTATACCCCAGCCGATGAAACACTTTCTTCTGATCCTTCTCAGCTGCTGTCATCACTGGTGTCCACCCATGCATCCCTCTACTGTCAGCTACTGGTGTTTACAGCCAGTGTGGAGGGTGGGTGACAGATCATGTCTTGTTCTTACTTGGTCACTATCTATGAAACACTTTGAGTTTCTCCTGATCCTTCTCAGCTGCTGTCATCACTGGAGTCCACCCATGCATCCCTCTACTGTCAGCTTCTTGTATTTATAGCTGGTGTGGAGGGTGGGTGACAGATCATGTCTTGTTCTTGCTGGGTCACTTTCGGTGATTTGCCGAATCTGGAATTTACCCTGATGACTTTAGTTATGTGACATTTACCAGTGGCAGATGTTTCACATTGTTTCTCTTCCAACCTATGTCCCAGCTGATGAGACACTTTCTTCTTCTTGGCTGTTATCATTACAGTTGTCTGACCTTCGTCCCCTCTATCATGTGTCTACTGTCAGCTATTTATAGCTGGTGTGGAGGGTGGGAGACAGATCATGCCTTGTTCTTGCTGGGTCACTTTCTGTGATTTGCCGAATCTGGAGTTTACCGTGATGACTTTAGTTATGTGACATCTACCAGTGGGAGATGTTTCCAACTTCATGTCCCAGGTTTTAATATTGCAGACTGAGGCATTGAAAACTAACTCGCTCTTGTCGATACATGTTTCTTGTCTGTCCAACCAGACATTGATTATCTACATACATTATCCCTTGAACAGGGGGTGGGAGACAAATAATGTCTTGTTCTTGCTGGGTCACTATCTCTGATTTGCCAAACCTGGATTTTCGATAGATGACTTTAGTTTAGTGACAAATAACCAGTGGCAGTTGTTTCCCACTGTTTACCTCCCAAACCAGGTGTAAATATTGCTGACCGAGGCATCAAAAACTCTCTCATTTGGGGTATCTTACAAGGTCCATTGGTTCTCTGAATAGCTCTCCTAAGGGCACTGAATTTAGAGCCGACTTAGGTTTCTCTTATGTCTTATTCTTATCCGAGTTATTACTCAGATTCTAAAAGTAAAAACAAGAACAAAATACAAGTTAATTTTCAACAATTATTTCACAAAAAAACAAGGTTTATTTTTATAGATATAGTGCACATAAGAAAGAAAAAAGAAGATCCGTTTACATGACTGATTGCCATGTCTTTTACCAACATGATATGGTTACGATTTTCCTCAACCTGTTTCTTTCTTTTTAGAATTGCATTTCTTTACATAAAAATGCATATATTTATCAGATTTTAGTGAGTATAATTATTTCTCCCCTTAAACAAGCATATTAAAAGTTAATAAAATAGGAATATGACATCTACATTAAATCTTCAGTTACTACCTTGACTACCCATGCTCAATCTCATTAAAATCAGATCTTAGTTCTCGCTACCGCTCAACAAAGATTTGAGGACATCCAATTACGGGTCACGTCAGACCGAACTTGCACGAACTTTTACTGACCAATGGAATGACCAATCAGAAGGCAGCTTTCTCGTGCTTTACGGCACAAATTTCAAATTGGCAACTACGCTCCGAAACATATTTTAACAAATTCTCTATTACAAATTTGAAACCTGAACAAAAAAACATTCTGGAATGGCTAATAGATGGTCTAGATTGTAAGGATTCAGTCGTTTAACCCGTAATTATCGTTCGGAATACCCCATGTTAAAGTTTTCGAGATTGCATGATTAGAAATCACAATCCAACTGTCACTTTCATAATCTGGTAAGCGACGCACTGATGAAAGGTCGTTCTGACGTGACCCCTAATGGGATGTCTTCAGATCTTTGTTTAGCAGAAGCAAGAACTAAGGTCTGATTTTAATGAGATTGACCCATGCTTGTTATACTTGGGATTGGGTGGTCAAACTCGTTGACTTGGTTGATGCATGTCATCGTATCCAAGTAATGCAGATCCATGCTCATGATGTCAATCACTGAATTGTCTGGTCGTTACTTGATTAATTACAGAATGCTGTCATGTAGCTGAGTGTGTGAGCATGCATGCATGCATGTTGTTCAACTCTGAACTTAGCAATGTTACAGCTATGTGACAGCAGTCTGTAAATAATCAAGTCTGGACCAGACAATCCAGGATTGACCTTATGAGCATTGATCTAAGCTATGATGACAAGTCACCGAGCAGCATTAAGCAACAACAACAAAAATAATCAGTTGTATTAATGTTGCCAAAATGATAAATAAAATGTGCAGAATTAGTGTAATGATTCTAGTGCAGAAGGCATATCATTTCTGTAAGTATCAATGCATATGATTCTGCAGACAATGTGTGGTGTGATATATAGCAATACAATATTCACCTGCATCCCTACAAAATTCTACAGTTTTAAAATTAAAGAGGATCCGTGAGGTTTCTGTTGTAGTAATTAAATCTACTGACCCCCTTAAACATGTTAAACATGAACTTTTAACAAAAGGGTTATGACAAGGATACTGCTTCAAATAAGATCTTGCAATTCTTTGACTTCATCGCTTTCCAAATTGGCATATTTGTTAGAATATACAGATTTGAGAATTTCCACCAAGTTACGGAATGTCGAGTTGTCTAAAGTGGGACATTTTGCTGTGCAAACATTGTCCCATAGACGTGCCAGAAATCTAGGATCAGATGTTGAAATCCCTGATTAATGTCTTTTGGTATGTGCCATAGAAGTTGGTGTTCTAGTGGATACTTTTTGAATTGATAACACAGGTCTGAAACGTTTTATTGTGAGTTCTTCACAAGTTGCCCAGTGCTCAACTCCCCTATAAAAAACATTGTCAGTCTGATCTATTTCTGTTCCTTGAATTTTCAACTTTCAACTTTGTTTTAAGTTGGCAGATCCATTAGCTGGGCAAAAATAAGTAAGGCCTTAGTGGCAAGTATGACAATTGTTTTTTTGTGACATGACAGTGTCCACATGTTTTATAAGTATTGAGTATTGATGAATATGAATGATCTCTTTTTTCTGGACTAGCTGAATGCGTATATATGTGTTATATATTTGATTAATTATATCTGACATTTGAATAAACTGTGAAAATTTGTCTGTATTTATGTTGTTCTTATGAACAAAGGAACAATTGGTATAAACTGGCCAATCTGCATAAAGAAACAATTTTAATGCTCAGTGAGAATAACAGCCCATAAAGATCGGGGTAGAATAAGTCTTCGGCATCCCATGCTTGCCCTTAAAGGCGACTATGCTTGTCATAAGAGGCAACTAACAGGATCGTGTGGTTAGACTTGATCTTGTGGTTAGACTCGCTGACTTGGTTGATGCATGTCATTGTATCCCAATTGCGTGGATCAATGCTCATGTTGTCAATCACAAGATTGTCTGGTCCAGACTCGATTACTTACAGACCGCCATCATATAGCTGGAATATTGCTGAGTGTGGCGTTAAACAACAAACAAACAAATCAGTGAGAATTACAGAAAACATTTTCACTGATATGGGTAATATTCAATCATTGTTGAGCACCCCTCTGTTTGCTTGAATTTGCCCATTGCTTGCTTCACCTTTTAGCATACTTCTAAGGTCAGACTTCATTTTGTATCCATGATAAATTGTCATGACATAATGAAGCTGTAATACACTGGATAATGAAGGAGGAAATTAACACCACTAAATATGCAAAATTCAGACAAATATTACCTTCTAAATATTCAGGATTAAATTATTTCTCTATAAGATCAAGATCACAAGGAGTTCACATTATAAATCATCTCGCAATCATCACCATATAGTTTTGTATCTGGCACTTAAAAATTCAGTAACTGAAGAAAACATCAGAATGCTTGATTTTGTTCTTTGCTTTGACCTCATCTTATACCAGGATTTCACTGAAATAGAAAATGTCTAAGACTAGCATCAGTTTTAGCATTCCTCAAACATTAAGCCCCAGTGATATGACTGAAATACTGTTCAAGGCTACATAAAACAAGTGTGATATCTATATCTCAACTGGAGTCGGTTGGTCAGTGTCACCCAAAATCTCCACTATGCTGAGGTTTGTTTTTCAATGCCCTACTCTTCAATATTCCAGTTATATGACGATGGTCTAAAAATAAACAAGTCAGGACCAGAGAATCGTTCTTCACAATTGTGTTACAATGACATCCATCTATCAAGTCAGAGAGCCTGTCTGACCAGTCGAACTATACTCCTCACAAAAAGTTAAGCAACAAATCTATTGTGTGTCAGTCCATGTTCATATATTCCAATACCTAAAAAACTGACAATACAAAGAAAGAGCACAAACACACATTGTCCTCAAAGGGAACTGAAAAGCGTTTATGCCTAACAGTTTTACAAATGATCAAAAACAGTATCATGAAAACAGTCGTGAAAAATGTGCTGCACTGAAAGATGAAAATCTTTAAATTTGAGTTTAAGTCATTTTGAAACAATGATCCAATGTTCAGTAACGTGTATGTCCACCACTGGCTTGAATGCAAGCTTCTACACGTCTTGGCATTGACCAGATAAGCCTATCAAGTGTCTGTTGTGGAATGTTCTGCCATTCTCTCCTTAAGGGCCTGTCCAAGTTGATCCAGATTCTGAGGACGAACATGAAGGCCATAAACACGCCTTCCAAGAATGTCCCATGCATGTTCAATAGGATTAAGATCCGGAGACCTTGCAGGCCAGTCCATATGCGTGATGTCGTTGGTCGGAAGAAGATCAGTGACAACTCTTGCTCGATGTGGACGAGCATTATCATCCATAAAGATGAAGTTAGGACCTGCTTGTTTTGCCAGGGGAATGATCACAGATGTGACAATCTCGTCCCAGTACCGTACTCCAGTCATCGTACCACGTCTGATGACCAAAAGATCAGTTCGGTGTCCAACCCCAACCGTACTGGTCGTGTTCAGCAATTGTACAGTTGGCGTATCGTTCATTACGGTTTCTCCACACACGTGCCCTACCATCGTTGAAGTCAAGGCAGAATCTTGACTCGTCTGTGAAGAGAACGTTACGCCAGCGATTGACCCTCCAGTTACGGCGTTGATTGGCCCAAGCAAGTCTCTGTTGTCGATGGTGTGCAGGCAGTGGGATACGTCGTACTGGTCGTCTGGACCTCAGATCCTGAGTGTGAAGTCTGTTTCTTACTGTCTGTGTTGAGACTCTGTTTCCTGCAACTCTCTGAAGGTCATTCTGGAGAGATCTGGCCGTAGTAAACCTGTTTCTCCGGGCTAGGGTGGCCAAATACCGGTTCTCACGAGGAGTTGTCACCCTTGGACGACCTGTGCGTGGTCTCTCTGTCATCAGTCCAGTTTGATGGTATCGAGTTATCGCTCTTGAGATGACACTGCGGTGAACATTAAAATGATTGGCAACAGCAGTTTGGGTGAGACCCCCCTGTACCATTCCAACAATCTGAGCAACCTCAGTTGGCGACGCCTAGCCATGTCTAAAGTGTTCATGTCGACAAATTGCCCTTGCTGGCAGTTTTTAAGCAATCAGGGTGCATGGGTGAAGTGTGTAAAACATGCATGTCGTGCATTTTGCCTGTGTGTTTTGAGGTTGGTTGTGTTCAGGCGATGTTATCAGTGTTATCAGGAAAATCTACATGGAAAAGGCTTTAAGTCGAGTATTCGTAGGTAATTCTCCTGCCTGAATATGTTCTCAATGGATGGCATTCAACACTGATGAGAATGTTGCACGGAAAATAATACTTGTTGCTTAACTTTTTGTGAGGAGTATAGTTTGTCGCCTCTTAGAACAAGCATGGGTTGCTGAAGACAAATTCTAACCTTGAATCTTCATAAGCCTATTCTAAAGACGTTATCTTAAGCCTTTTGTCACACAATTGGGGAGTTCTTGCACAGGAGGCACGGACTAACTACAGTAAACATGTGGAATTGTTGCGGTAATAAAACTTTCTAGATAAACACGACTGTAGTGCGTTTCAATTTACCCCATCGATAATGTTTCAACTATAGAAGCGAGGAGAAAAACTGACGAAGGTGTAATCAATACAGTAAAACAAAGCATTCAGCAGTATTCCAGCTGTAAGTAATCAGGTCTGGGCCAGACATATCAGGTGGGACCCGTGAAAATCCGGGGTAGAATAGGTCTTCAGCAACCCATGCTTGTTGTAAATGGCGACTCTGCTTGTCGTAAGAGGCGACTAACGGGATCGGGTGGTCAGGCTCGCTGACTTGGTTGATGCATGTCATCGTATCCCAACTGCGTGGATCGATGCTCATGATGTCACTCGCTGGACTCGATTATTTACAGACCGCCGTGATATTGCTGGAATATTGCTAAAAGCGGTGTGAAACCATACTCACTCACTGTAGGGACGTAACTTTGCAGCACGAAAATGTTGCACTTGTAACTTACATTTTGAGGCAGCATTGCTGTACTGCCATGTCCGGCTGTTTCTCCAGGCCTCTTCCCCCATAGAACATGTCTGGGATGAGATGGACCGACGCCTACGACAGGACCAGAACCAGTCGGTTTATGCGAGCTCAGTTAGCCAATCTTTGGTGGACATTTGGAATAACATCCCTACTTTATATGAAGCACAGTTACTTTTTACAGTAGAACAGAATCACCCCAAAGTCCCAATTTTGGAATAATGTCTAGGACATTACTACATAGGTGGTTTCGTCCGTTTCTGACGTCAATTCCGGTAGCGATGACATAATTCCGGTGACTTTGAGGGTGATACTAGCTGTTAACCTATTACCTGCCCTTCGCCGTGTAGACAGACGAAATTGATCAAATTGTTAACCTACAATCAAAGACGGGTTATTACCTACTAGACCGCCTCCGTGGTCTAGTGGTAGAGCGTCTGTCCGGAGAGCGGAAGGTCCGGGGTTCGATCCCCGACCGCGTCATACCAAAATACGTTAAAAAGATGGTACTTGTTGTTACCCTTCCTGGAGCTCGGCATTAAGGGGCTAAAACAAGGACTGGTCGGCTCGGAGTCAGTATACTGTGTCTGAGTGGGGTATTCATGTTAAACTGCGGCATGGTTCTTAGTGAGCTAGCACTATAAATCGACATCAGTCCGGACTAGTACAAGCACGTCGCTATATAAGTGCAATAATCGTGGACGCGACGTTAAACCCCATTTCACCTTATTACCTACGAGCTATGGTAAGGCTCTGATGGATATTGAACTCTGCATGTGTTAGACAATGTAAGTCGAGTTCTGAGACTTTAGCTGCTGTGATCATGCCCAAAAGGAACGCTGCCTTTTGGGGTTTATGCAACAACATAGCAGACGTCAAAGGTTAGAAGGGCTTTTTCCAAAAGAGTGGAAAAGATGACAAAGGGGTTCCATTTAGGGAAAGTGCGTGGGGTCTTGATATCCTCCAGAAGGACAATTCTCATGATTCTGTTGAGGACAGGATGATTTCTCGATAGTCTGTCATGCTATAGAACAGAGGTTAGAGTAGACCTGTATCCTTCGAAGATGGCAAGACAGAACTTATCCTGGTGATCGTCATTGGATTAGGACCTCAACCGGAAGCCTGCATCTTATGAGCGGTTACTTCCAAGCGTGAAGATGGATACTGTATAGACTGGCGTGCATGACTACTCATCTTGGTTTGGCAGAGGTTCCAGTAGTCTGAGGGGTTCGTCCACGAGTAGCTGAAACAGTCTGAGGAACCGGCCATAACGTTGCTATCAGAAAGGTCATGCAGTTTGTATCACCTATATCTCACACCGGAGATTCCAAGGTGGGAAAGCGTACACAAATATTCCCGTCCAGTCCATGGACAACGCATCAACTTGAAGGGCTTGGGGGTCCGGCACTGGGCTGACATTCACTGGATGTGGCTAACGAGTCCAGATGATGTGTGTCCCACGTCGATCTAACGGAATGCTTCTGGGTGGGGAAACCAGTCTGGAGTCACTATCCTACCCCGACGAGATAAGCTTCTGTCATGATGTTGAACTTTACCTGGTATGTGACGGTAAACAACAAACAAACAAACAACATCGTAGATTGCGCTCATCTTGAGAAATTGATGTGAAGATGCTTTTTGTAAAGTTGCCATAGCCCCTGAATCGTTTGTCATGCATGATGTTTCCTGGGATCCTTCAACAGTTGGCGGGGAATGTATTAGGCTATCTAACCTTGGTGTCCTCGGGGGGGGGGGGGGGGCAGTTCCAGTCGTCTAAGGCGACGCGATTCGCTGTTTCTGGTGTGCCCCAGGGACTCAAACTCTGGACAGAATACGACTGGGCCAACCATATCCCCAGTTGAACATGAAAATATATAGACTTAAAATACAATACAAATGTATGTCGAAACACAGATTGACTTAAACCTATCTTGCATTAGATAAGATAATTAAGAATTTGACAAATTAATATTTTACAACATTTGTAATATATGAGTTACATCATTAGCCGTGTTCTAAACATCTTAAGGCGTGTTGCAGGTAAAAGATCTTGAAGTTTCAGCATGATAGATTCGGGGTTGGGGTGTGGAAGTGCCCTGATAAAAATTGTTATATATTAAAATCCTATTTATGCTATTTCACCACAACAAACTGTCAGTGAACAAAGAAGCGCTACGACGGAGCAGGCATTTTGGTCAATAACGTTCGATAGTGAGTGTGGGGGGCACGGGTGGCCCAGTCGTCTAAGGCGCCGCGATTCGCTGTGCAGAGTTGCGTCCCTTGGGCACACCAGAAACCTATGATTGTGGGTTCGAATCCCGGTTCATCCCAATTATGTTTCTAGGTTTGTCAGCACCATACCCGTGCTCGTGGGTTTCACCGAAGTGGTAAACGTCTGAGACCTGCATCACTTCGGGCTTTCCTCCCACATTAAGCTGACACGCCGTGATATAACTGGAAGAATGCTAAAAGCGGCGTTAAACCCAACTCACTCAACTCGGGTGTGCGAGTGAGTGAGTGAGTGAGTGAGTGAGTGAGTTTAACGCCGCTTTGAACAGTATTTCAGTTATATCATTGTTATCAGTTTTATGTGTGAGTAAAAGGCAGCGGGGACGCACGTATTGGTCGTTTACCACTTTGGTGAAACCCACGAGCACCGTACTGGTGCTGACAAACCTAGAAACAAAACCAGGGCGAATCTTTGATTTGAACTCACGATCATAAGTTTCTGGCACGCCGAAGGGACGCAACTCTGCACGACGAAATTGCGGGGGCGAGGGTGACCGGGACAGTCATGTTTGGATCCTTCACGCAGAGAGGTATGTTATCGAGAGTAAATATTCTGATTTTATTAGGTAAATCCCAGTTACATGTATATTTATTTAATCGGTAAAATTATATTAGGGACTACAGTTCTACAGTTTATTGCAGTGTCATACGGAAAGCTAACAAAAAGGGTAAGATCCCCTCCCCTAGTACTATATATATATTCCACAGTCATGGCGCAGGATAGTCTAAAAACAGCAGAAGGGGAAAGGTTCTTCTAAAGAAAAAAATACAATTATTTTAAAGAAATGTTTTCATTGACAAATTTCTAGTTGGTTCTCAGAAATAATATACAGCCTCTCCAGAACTGTATCCAAGTGTATTTGTGGGGAACACAGAAAATTAGTGCTTTAGAAAACCATTATTAAATATATTTTACGGTGGGCGGATCTGCAAACTATTTTTAAAGTATCGCTTCTTTTCGGTATCAATTTGGTAAGACTGTATCTACAACTGTTATATGACGATTTCACAGAAATGACATTCACTTGGAAAGTGGGAATGAAATTGTTTTTCTTTTTTTAATTCTTTGTTGACAACATTTCGAAAAAGCATGACAGACATGGGGTTGAACTCGTCAATATCCGTATCATACCCAGAATGATCACAAGTGTGAGGTTTGCAAGGAGTGATGTCCCTTTGATAATTCTTCGAAATCATGCGAAGGTAAAACGAAAAGGCTGCCATAGCCAAAATACTTGCAGAGTCATGTAACTTCCACCTTGTTAACCCGACTAAGAGATATTTCTCGACGAGGTAAGAGTGTGTTGAATTTAAAAGCCGGAGGAAACGGTGAAGAAGGAATATGATACTGCCAGGTAGGCCTACTGCTGAATGAAAGTAGGGCAGAATATGCACGGCCACATGTGTTAACCTGTCTGATCACTGTATCCCGGAACGTGAATATTTTACTGAAAAGGAGGTTTACGGGCATTGGGCTTGGCCAGGCTATCTGTCGTTATGATTCTCACAAATGTCGGTCAGTTTTGAATTGCTTCCACGTCATAATAATTTCAGAGGTATTTTTGTCCTTGTTTGTGGTGAATTATCTCCCCTGAGCAACTTCAGCATAACTTTGATTTTATTGACGAAAAGAGCATACAAAACAACTTTGATCCAGACAATCAACACGGCACGAGGATGTTTTGTAGCATGCCTACCTATTGATGCAAATACCTATTCAGACCATCTTTAGTATACAGTACCACTAGGGCTGGGACGAGTCCAAATTTACTACCCGGTACCCACCTCCCTATTACCCCACCTTACCTTGGTACCTGCTGTAGATATCTAGAGATAGGTACAAACTGTCCGATTTGGAAAAGTTTGACCGTAGCCCTGGCAAAATGTATTTAGATATACGTGTAAAACAATCTGCATGAAGTTTTATCTTTATTCAGACATATAAAAAGTAAGAAGGAATGGGTGCATTGTCAGAAAGAAATGGGAACATTAGTGACTTATAGTGTAGCCACAGTGTTTTAGATATATTTTTTCCCTTAAACAATATATCACTTGACTAACCATGGGTCCGGGTAGTCCTGGGGGTACCCTTGTCCTACTCAGGACCCACCTGACCCGAGTACCCGAGTTACCTGTCCCAGCACTAATTACCACAACTTCTTTTGAGGAGGGGCAGTTGGGTAGCCTAGTGGTTAAAATGTTCGCTAGTCATGCCGAAGAGCCCGGTTCGATTCCCGACATGGGTACTAATGTGTGAAGCCCATTTCTGGTGTCCCCTGCCGTGATATTGCTGGAATATTGCTAAAAGCGGTGTAAAACCATAATCACTCACTCACTCACTCCCCTTTGTCAGGAGGATCTGGCTGCAGGTCACGTCTCAAAGACAAGAAACCAGTTTTTGTGACAGTCTGTCGAATGTCGTCTTGCAACCTTAGGATTGTTAGCCCAATAGCCAGCCAACTTAGGGGAGCAGGTCAAAACAGCCTCATGTCAGAAAGGCCTCAAAGGTAAAGTCAAAATGGTAACAGAAAAAAAGTCAAAATAGCCACGACCCATAGTCAAAATGGCCACGATGAAGTCATAATGGCAACAACACTAAAGAAGACAAACTCAAGTATTGTGTCACATAATTGTATTTTATACATTGTATAACAGTTCTTAACACTACCATGCACCATGTGCATACAGTTCTTAATTCAGCACTAACTCAGCACAACACAAGTGATAACACAGTTCTATGTCACAGTTCCACATCACATATGAAACCCTTGGTCCTTGGTTTGAAGTGCATATGCTCAGCAGCTCAGATGGTGTTGTGTTGCCTTCCTTGTACATTCTCCAGGCCGCAAGGGGCGGTCGGGTAGCCTAGTGGTTAAAGTTTAGCTAGTCACGCCGAAGACCCGGGTTCGATTCCCGACATGGGTACAATGTGTGAAGCCCATTTCTGGTGTCCCCACTGTGGTATTGCTGGAATATTGCTAAAAACGGCGTAAAACCATACTCACTCACTCATTCCAGGCCGCAAAGATTTCTTCTTGCAGGTTTGTAGCATTTTTCTTGATGTAGCGGTGGAGGTTGCCAGCTTGCATCAAGAAGACCTGAAGGCCAAGGAGAGACACCTCCTTGTGTAGGATTAGTCTGAAATAAAAACACTAAAAGTAAAAGGTTTCCTCATTAGGATTAAAGTTTATTTATGTTTTCACAACAGATTGGTACACTGGTCAGTACAGAGATCAAAGTAAATGGATGAGACTGGTTAAAACAACACATGCAATATACTATAAGGGTAACGCTATTTTTCAGGGTATTATCATTTGCAGAAGCCCGAGGTCTTCCATTAACTGCCTGACGAAAGAGGGCAGCTGAAAAGACCGAGGGCTTCTGCAAATGATAATGCCCTGAAAAATAGCGTTATTGTTATTATAGTTAAAAAAAAGAATTTGTTATCAAATAACAAGAAACAACAATATCGGTTTTCAAACATTTACTGCAATCAACACGAATGTCACTGACCCACTTTTACAAATATGGAAACGTCATAGAAACCAGATGACATCACTATTGAATGTGACGTCACCTATCCCTATCCTATGACGTCATCTAAAAATGTCTAACAACGGTCATGATAATGGCCCGTCGTCAAGAAATATGGGGGCATTATCAAGTTACAGTGGCCTGCTCATTTTTGATAACATACAGGCGGTGTAATGATAATTCTATCCATTTTAGCTATAATGGAAGATATTAAATTGTAATAACAACATCTAATATGTATACTCTGTAGACAACCTGCTCAATTTGGATATTAATTTTTTATTAAAAACAACATCTAACACATATACTCTCTACACATGTATCATGCTTGCATTCATTCATTATTATTGACATTTTGACCAGTGACCTGTGGCCATTATGACTTTACCGCCTCTGTGGTCTAGTGGTAGAGCGTCCGCCTGGAGAGCCTGTTACCCTGTCTGGCGCTCGGCATTAAGAGGCTGAAACAAGGACTGGTCGGCTCGGAGTCAGTATACTGTGTCTGAGTTGGGTATTCATGTTAAACTGCGGCATGGTATCTCAGTGTGCTAGCACTATAAATCGGCATCTGTCCGGACTAGTACACAGACACACGTACATGCACGTCGCTATATAAGTGCAATAATCTTGGACGCAACATTTAACCCCATTTCAACTCACCTCACGCCGTTATGACTTTTTTGTTTTGGCTGTTGTGACTATGGGTTTGTGGCCATTTTGACTTTTTTTGTGGCTGTTTTTAGTTTTGAGGCCGTTTTGACTACAAACCGACTGAGCTACGTCCACACTGTTAAACTTAGTGCATATTTACCGTATCATGCATGAAAATGCATAAGATGGAGTAACAACCCCCTTAGACCCCCTCCACAGCTTGTAAAGCCTCGTAACCATCCTGGTCAGTATGAATCTAATTGATGTATTGCAAAAAAATTCCTATGGTAGATTGATAGTGGTTGGACCGAATTATATCTAAACATCACGTTTAGATGTGTGCAATATCATTAAATAAATACCTGTAACTTATAGACTACATTCCTATGCATAATAATGAAAACAACCAAAGCAAAAAAAGAAACTACCATATTCGACATAATAAGCGCGCCGCTCTAATAAGGGTCCAGAGCTATATTTGCTAATATATTGGCTCGTAAACAATCCCAATTAGCACCCCTTCCGTTTGATGAGTGTACACAAGACTTATTTATTCGTGTATAATAATGTGTGTTATATGCATCCTTAATTATGGGAAATTAAATTCTGGAAAACTATATCTGTCGTATATAAACATTTTTGACTGTCAGCTTCAACCACGAAATTTACGATCTTTCAACTCTGTTGTTTTTTCACCAAAATAATATTCCAAAAGAGCCCCCTATTTCTAATTTTGAGAGTGCCCTGGGCGCTTATTATGTCAAATACGGTATGCATATCAGTTACCATTTACAATCAATTAAGTTTAAACCGATGAAATCTTTTGTTGAAAATCAAATTGCATGGTTAGATAGAAGCCAGTGTTTATCAAAGCTTAGATGAAAGTATGAATATGCTTGGTCGTATGAAGCCAATCACTCTCTACTCTCTACCCAGAGTTTCCTCTGTCTCATCGTTATGTCTTACAAGTCCATTGATGTGTTTTTCATCTGATTCATTTTCGATAAACATAGCTCATGAAATATTTCACTTTCACTGTAACCATATGCTATGCATGAAAAACTGTTTCCATTTGCGTATTTATGATCCTTGTGATGTCATATAAGCCATATGGAGAGCTAGAGATACAGTCACTTTGTGTTAAGACATATTGTCAAGCACCTCACTGTCGCAGTTGTAGTAGGAGCCGCAATTTGCTGTGCAGAGTTTCGTCCCTTGGCCACGCCAGAAACCTATGATTGTGGGTTCAATTCCTGGCTCGCCCTGATTATGTTTCTAGGTTTGTCAGCACCATACCCATGCTTCTGGGTTTCACCAAAATGGTAAACGTCTGAGACCTGCATCACTTTTGACTCCCCCCTCCCCCCAGTTTAAGCTGTCATGCCGTGATATAACTGGAGTACTGTTAAAAGGGGTGTTAAACCCACAGCATGTCGTTGGTTCTGTGTGCTTTTAAATCATGCATGAAATCATTGCCAAGTGTTACGTCACATGCCTGATTCAATTCTCAAACCAAAACAATAGTGCTCCTCAAGCTCCGACAATGCAAGTGTTGCACAGAGTAAACTAGCTTCAGCCTTATGTTTTAATAGAGGCAAATTGAAGGAAAAGCTTGGGTCTTTCTCTTATGGCTAAGTTACAAAATACTAACTGACAGCTTGAATAGATTAGAAGTGTTTATCAAAGCCTAGGTTACAATATAAATAATATGCCTTGGTAGTATAAAGCCAGTCACCGACTGTTTGCACTTTCAGAAAAGAACCAAGTTCAATTCTTTCATAACATTGAATTCATAAACTTTGTAGACTGCTATTCTAAAGGAAAGCCTTGATTCCTTTATCCATGGGGCTTTTGTTACAAACTGTGGTGACATTTTACAGAATATACACTTGGCATCTATGAAAGTCAAGCACACAAGTAAAATGACCTCTTGTGGGCATGTGCGCTTTTGAGGTTAGGATTGGCCTTCCCTTGTAAGAGGCAACCAGTGGGATCAGGTGATCATGCTCGCTGACTGGTTGATGCAGGTGATCATATCCCATTCCATACATTATGTCATGATGTCTGTTTATTATTTACAGATTGGCTTCATACAGGTTGAATATTGCTGAGTGTGGTGTTAACCAAAAAATAAACAATTTTAGTGTGACTGTGTTTCTTTGATAACTTCTTTGACAGGCATTTAGAAGTTGGAGTACTAAGTAAGGATAAGAATTTATGGATGAACAACTTTTTTATTACAATTGAGCACACTTAAAAGGCTTGGTTCCATTGTGAACCTTCATGTGTGCATTCAGAGTGACGTTTCAGTGTAGGTTCTATCACCGTTTACTGTGCTTAGTAAATTTTAATGCATCATATCAAATTTCAGTGTTTGGCTGTTGGGCAATAGAAGTTTTGGTGTTTTTTAGCATTTCCATCCAAAAACATTAACTTTTGACCAATAATGTTTTGCTTTACTATAAGTAATTTGATTTTGTGATTCCTTCATATTATAATACATATAAATTCTTTATAGACTGTGTGTGACATTGTGTGTATCGTGATAGCCCTGTTTGTCACTGTGAGGTTAATGTGGAAACATCAGACGAAGCATTCGTGACCAACTCATGTTATTCCGGGACAAGCCGAATAGCGACTCGTGCCCCTCTCATAGCCAGTTTTGCGACCGGGTTCCGTCTTAGCGCAAATGGGCATACCTAAAATAATTGTCAACTCGTCGCGTTAAAGTTCACATATATTTCCCCATATTTTATATATATTTCAGATGCAGTTTAAAGCCCATCTGGACTTGTGGAATTATACAGTATGGTAGAACACATTTAACTGTGCCTTGGGTATATTTTTAGATGCAAGACATATGTAAAATCAAAAATTATTTCTGAGGAATTCTTTGATGAACAACTTGAAATCAAACGCTCATTCTGATTGGTTTGTCGTATTTCTGCACATAACATTCATCGATAGGGGGACGAGTCTTCTTGCAGGTTACGGAAAGGGGCGAGTGGTGATGAATGCAGATGAAGATGATATGGAAACATCAGACGAAGATGATAAACAATGAGAAATTAAGTGACAACTTTTTTATGTTTTCAGTGAACACCGTAACATCCAAAAGTTGATAATGGAAGTACAAACCCATCCCCAGAATCCTGGCTCTGTTACAGAAACATGTGTAATGACAGACGGTGAGAGAGCGTTGCTGGATGATCTCAAGAAAGAATCTGATACTGACATGCTGGAAACAGATTGTCTCAAGAAACAGCGTAGTGAGTGTGGGAAAGAATTCACAGAAAATGGCCATCTGAAGAGACACATGAATACACATGAAAGTGGTCACAGTGATGTGAATGGGAAACCTAATCAGTGTGGGGAATGTGGGAAAGTGTTTACGCGATCAAGTAACTTGCAGACACACATGATGAGTCACAGTAGCGTCAAGCCTCATAGATGTGTTCAATGTGGAAAAGTGTTTACGCGATCAAGTAACTTGCAGACACACATGATGAGTCACAGTAGCGTCAAGCTTCATAGATGTGTTGAATTTGGGAAAGTGTTTACGAGATTAAGTACTTTGAAGACACACATGATGAGACACAGTGGACAAAAGCCCTTTGAGTGTGATGTGTGTGGGAAAGTACTAAAATCTTCATGGAGCATGAAAATGCACCATAAGACTCTCCACCGTGGAATCAAACCTTTTAAGTGTGCCAAATGTGGAAAAACATTTTCACTAAGAAGTACTCTGAAGGGCCACATGTGGATTCACAGTGGAATCAAGCCTTTTAAGTGTGCTGAATGTGGGCAAGAATTTGCACACTCAAATAACATGCAGTCTCACATGAGGAGTCACAGTGGAATCAAGCCCTTTGCGTGTGATGTGTGTGGGAAAGTATTCACAACATCATGGAGCTTGAAGATGCACCAGAAGACTCTCCACTGTGGACTCCAGCCTTTTAAGTGTGCTGAATGTGGGAAAACATTCACACTAAGAGGTACTCTGGAGTGTCACATGAGGATTCACAGTGGAGTCAAGCCCTTTGGGTGTGATGAGTGTGGAAAAGCATTTACACAAAGAGGCACTCTGAAGACTCACATGAGGCTCCACAATGGTATCAAGCCTTTTAAGTGCGGTGAATGTGGGAAAGAGTATGCACAAGCAGGTACTCTGCAGGCTCACATGATGAGTCACAGTGGACTCCGGCCTTATAAGTGTGATGAGTGTGGAAAAACGTTTCCACTAAGAGCCACTCTGAAGACACACATGAGGCTTCACAGTGGAATCAAGCCTTTCAAGTGTGCTGAATGTGGGAAAGAGTTTACAGAAGCTGGTAACCTGCAGACACACATGAGCAGTCACAGTGAACTCAAGCCCCATAAGTGTGAGGAGTGTGGGAAAACATTTAGACTAAGAGCTACACTTGAGATTCACATGAGGACTCACAGTGGTATCAAGCCTTATAAGTGTGTTGAATGTGGGAGAGAGTTTGCACAATCAGGTACCCTGAAGTCTCACGTCAGGAGACACAGTGGTGTCAAGCCGTATGAGTGTGAGGAGTGTGGGAAAACATTTACCCTAAGAGATACTCTGAAGAATCACATTAGGATTCACAGTGGAGTCAAGCCCTTTGAGTGTGTTGAATGTGGGAAGAAATTTACAGGAGCAGGTGCCTTACGATCTCACGTGAGGATTCACAGTGAAATGAAGCCTTATAAGTGTGGTGAGTGTGGGAAAACCTTTACACAAAGAAGTAATCTGAATACACACATGAGGATTCACAGTGGGATCAAGCCTTTTAAGTGTGATGTGTGTGGGAAAGAGTTCACACGGGCAGGTACCCTGCAGTCTCACATGCTGTGTCACAGTGGACTCAAGCCCTTTAAGTGTGATGAGTGCGGGAAAAAATTTACACAAAATAGTAATCTGAATGCACACATGAAGGTTCACAATGGAACCAAGCCTTTTAAGTGTGCTCAATGTGACAAAGAGTTTGCACATGCAGGGAGCCTGCAATCTCACTTGAGGCATCACAGTGGAGACAGGCCTTTTACGTGTAGCGAGTGTGGGAAAACATTCACAATATCAAGTCGTCTGAAAAGACACATGGTGCATCACAGTGGAGACAAGCCTTTTAAGTGTAGTGAGTGTGGGGAAACATTTGCGCTAAAAAGTTATCTGCATGCACACATAAAGCTTCACAGTGGAATCAAGCCTTTTAGGTGTGGTGAGTGTGGGAGAGAGTTTGCACACTCTGGCAACCTGCAGTCACACATGAGGAGTCACAGTGGAATCAAGCCCTTTGAGTGTGATGTGTGTGGGAAAGGGTTTGCAAGATCTTGGAGCATGAAGATGCACCAGAAGAGGCTTCACAGTGAAGTCCGGCCCTGAAAGTGTGGTGAGAGTTGGGGGAACATTCACTGCATCAAGTTGTCTGAAGACACACAGAGGGCATCATCAGGGAGTCCTGCCCTGAAAGTGTGGTGAGAGTTGGGGGAACATTCACTGCATCAAGTTGTCTGAAGACACACACAGGGCATCATCAGGGAGACCTGCCCTGCCTGCCCTGAAAGTGTGGTGAGAGTTGGGGGAACATTCACAGCATCAAGTTGTCTGAAGACACACAGAGGGCATCATCAGGGAGTCCTGCCCTGAAAGTGTGGTGAGGGTTGGGGGAACATTCACTGCATCAAGTTGTCTGAAGACACACACAGGGCATCATCAGGGAGTCCTGCCCTGAAAGTGTGGTGAGAGTTGGGGGAACATTCACAGCATCAAGTTGTCTGAAGACACACACAGGGCATCATCAGGGAGTCCTGCCCTGCCTGCCCTGAAAGTGTGGTGAGAGTTGGGGGAACATTCACAGCATCAAGTTGTCTGAAGACACACAGAGGGCATCATCAGGGAGTCCTGCCCTGAAAGTGTGGTGAGGGTTGGGGGAACATTCACTGCATCAAGTTGTCTGAAGACACACATAGGGCATCATCAAGGAGTCCTGCCCTGAAAGTGTGGTGGTGGCAGGCATCAGAGTGAAGTCAAGCCTCACTACTGTACATAAGCTAATGGCGCAAGTGTGGGAATCATTGAGCTTAGTGACAAAGGTACATCAGCTATCAATGGCAAGTCTTTTTCTTTAAGTGAAAATGTTGACCGAACAGATGTTACCTGCCTTACCTCTCCAAGGTATCTTCCTATCTCATGGTAACCTTGTGGGAGGTACTACTTCAAGTGAGACCTGATGAGAGGTTTTAGATTTGAATTGTAAGACCTCCTTGGTGTTTTTATAATTGAATTGTAAGAACTTGGTTTTGCACTTAAATCAGCCTTCAAAGTCACAATTCTTTTTACATGAAGCAAACCCACAAACTGCTGTATTTGCCAGTATTAGGCCTCAAATTATGACACATGAATAATATAATGTATTTTAAGTGTTAATCACTTAATCATGTTAATGTTAGCATGGGCAAGGTTGTCCTTGTCATAACCCTGCAGGGCCCGTGAAGATCCGGGGTAGAATAGGTCTTCAGCAACCCATGCTTGCCGTAAAAGGCGACTATGCTTGTCGTAAAAGGCGACTAACGGGATCGGGTGGTCAGGCTCGCTGACTTGGTTGATGCATGTCATCGATCCCAATTGCGTGGATCAATGCTCATGTTATCAATCACTGGATTGTCTGGTCCAGGCTCGATTATTTACAGACCGCCGTCATATAGCTGGAATATTGCTGAGTACGGCGTTAAACAACAAACAAAACAAAACAAACATAACCCTGCAGACAGTAATCTACAAATGTAACAGATTAAGTCAGAGCTACAGATTAGCTGCGTATTTGCGCAAAATACCACCCCAGCCCACCCCGATGTTTCAACCCCAATTAGTTTCAACTAACTTGCATACAGAAATGCATTGCATTAAAAGAAAAACTTTAACGTACATACTCAATGAAGCTTATTCAGCATTCATTCAATGGAGCTAATTTCCGAAACACAATTACAAGTTAATTTACTTTCCGAGTCAAGCCTGTAATAACACCAGTTGTATACAACTGAAACATTATATTTTTTTTAAAATCTTAAAATGTTTTTGGGAAAATCCAGAACAATGGAGTACTGAAGGTAAGCTTCATTAACTGGTGGCAAGGCACTGCTGACACCCAGTGTGGCAAACAAGCTGAACTTTGACATAAACTTGAGATAGCACTGGAAACCTGTAGAGTAGGCTGTTCTTGTGTGTTGACTGATAGCTGCTGACCACAGGGTATCCAAATGTCTGTTCAGGTCCGCATCACTTCTTGGGCCCCAAGGTAATATATCTTTTTGCATCCTTTCAGAAAGAACTGCATAAAGTATGGAGGATTCAAGGGTAGAGTAAATACTGACCCAAATATGAAAAAAAGTATTGATATGTAGGGTCTTTAGATTAAATAACTATCAAACTATAGCAGCAAAGCTCAGTGATACCTTTGATGTCATCGATACTTCGATACTTGGGAGACAAATAATGTCTTGTTCTTACTTGATCTCAGAATCCCCTGCCCTGTTCTTATTATGAGGAGCCGAATCTGGAATTTACCTCAGATGAATTTAGTTTAGTGTACTCTGACTTCAAGTCCTGCCAAATAGCATCCTTATGTTCGATGCTGATAAAAATTATGTTATTATATTATAAATAATAGCCACCCAATCATCAATCAGATTCAATATCTGGGAACAAACAGCTCCCAGGCCTGAATTCTCCATGACCTTTGCTCATCATGCAGATCAAATACTTTCTTCTGACCAGTGGCAGATGTTTCCCACTGTTTCTCTTCCAACCTTATGTCCCAGGTTTAAACATTGCAGACTGAGGCATTGAAAACTAACTCACTTTAGTTAGTCAGGTGATAGTCAAGTGAGCTTTTGTTGTGTTGTCTGTCATCTGGGAATCCATGATTTTGTACATCTCTTGTGATTCTTCAAAGGCTATAATCTTTGTTTGTTTGGTAGCTCACCTGATTGAAGTGAGCTTTTGTTGTTACATGTTTCTTATCGTCTGTCCAACCAACTGACATTCAACATCTACATACATTGTCCCTTGAACCCCGCTTCAGGTCCTGTCTAAATAGCATCCTTATGTTTGATGCTGATAATAACAATAATGTTATTTTATTATAGATAATAGCCACCCAATCAACAATCAGACTCAATATCTGGGAAAAAACAGCTCCCAGGCCTGAATTCTCCATGATCTTTGCTCATCATGCAGATCAAATACTTTCTTCTGACCAGTGGCAGATGTTTCCCACTGTTTCTCTTCCAACCTTATGTCCCAGGTTTAAACATTGCAGACTGAGGCATTGATAACTAACTCACTTTAGTTAGTCAGGTGATAGTCAAGTGAGCTTTTGTTGTGTTGTCTGTCATCTGTGAATCCATGATTTTGTACATCTCTTCTGATTCTTCAAAGACTATAATCTTTGTTTGTTTGGTAGCTCACCTGACTGAAAGTCAAGTGAGCTTTTGTTGTTACATGTTTCTTCTTGTCTGTCCAACAGACTGACATTGAACATCTACATACATTGTCCCTTGAACTCCGCTTCAGGTCCTGCCAAATAGCATCCTTATGTTTGATGTTGATAATAATTATATTATTATATTATAGATAATAGCCACCCAATCAACAATCAGACTCAATATCTGGGAACAAACAGCTCCCAGACCTGAATTCTCCATGATCTTTGCTCATCATGCAGATCAAATACTTTCTTCTGACCAGTAGCAGATGACTTTATTTGAGTGACATTCACCAGTGGCAGATGTATTCCACTTTTTCTCTTCCAACCTTATGTCCCAGGTTTAAACATTGCAGACTGAGGCATTGAAAACTTACTCACTTTAGTTAGTCAGGTGATAGTCAAGTGAGCTTTTGTTGTTTTGTCTGTCATCTGTGAATCCATGATTTTGTACATCTCTTCTGATTCTTCAAAGGCTATAATCTTTGTTTGTTTGGTAGCTCACCTGACTGAAGTGAGCATTTGTTGTTACATGTTTCTTCTTGTCTGTCCAACCAACTGACATTCAACATCTACATACATTGTCCCTTGAACCCTGCTTCAGGTCCTGTCTAAATAGCATCCTTATGTTTGATGCTGATAATAACAATTATATTATTATATTAGAGATGATAGCCACCCAATCAACAATCTGACTCAATATCTGGGAACAAACAGCTCCCAGGCATGAATTCTCCGTGACCTTTGCTCATCATGCAGATCAAATACTTTCTTCTGACCAGTGGCAGATGTTTCCCACTGTTTCTCTTCCAACCTTATGTCCCAGGTTTAAACATTGCAGACTGAGGCATTGAAAACTAACTCACTTTAGTTAGTCAGGTGATAGTCAAGTGAGCTTTTGTTGTGTTGTCTGTCATCTGTGAATCCATGATTTTGTACATCTCTTCTGATTCTTCAAAGGCTATAATCTTTGTTTGTTTGGTAGCTCACCTGACTGAAGTGAGCATTTGTTGTTACATGTTTCTTCTTGTCTGTCCAACCAACTGACATTCAACATCTACATACATTGTCCCTTGAACCCTGCTTCAGGTCCTGTCTAAATAGCATCCTTATGTTTGATGCTGATAATAACAATTATATTATTATATTAGAGATGATAGCCACCCAATCAACAATCTGACTCAATATCTGGGAACAAACAGCTCCCAGACATGAATTCTCCATGACCTTTGCTCATCATGCAGATCAAAAACCTTCTTCTTACCAGTAGCAGATGACTTTATTTTAGTGACATTCACCAGTGGCAGATATTTCCCACTGTTTCTCTTCCAACCATATATCCCAGCTGATGAAACACTTTCTCCTCTCAGCTGCTGTCATCACTGCTGTTCTCCCATGCATCCCTCTACTATCAGCTTCTGGTGTTTACAGCTGGTGTGGAGGGTTTGAGACAGATAATGTCTTGTTCTTGCTGGATCACTTTTCTTTGATTTGGAATCTGGCATTTACCTCCCAATCCACAATCAAATATCTCAAATATGACTCAATATCTGGGAACAAACAGCTCCCAGGCATGAATTCTCCATGACCTTTGCTCATCATGCAGATCAAATACTTTCTTCTGACCAGTGGCAGATGTTTCCCACTGTTTCTCTTCCAACCATATATCCCAGCTGATGAAACACTTTCTCCTCTCAGCTGCTGTCATCACTGCTGTTCTCCCATGCATCCCTCTACTATCAGCTTCTGGTGTTTACAGCTGGTGTGGAGGGTTTGAGACAGATAATGTCTTGTTCTTGCTGGATCACTTTTCTTTGATTTGGAATCTGGCATTTACCTCCCAATCCACAATCAAAGATCTCAAATATGACTCAATATCTGGGAACAAACAGCTCCCAGGCATGAATTCTCCATGACCTTTGCTCATCATGCAGATCAAATACTTTCTTCTGACCAGTGGCAGATGTTTCCCACTGTTTCTCTTCCAACCATATATCCCAGCTGATGAAACACTTTCTCCTCTCAGCTGCTGTCATCACTGCTGTTCTCCCATGCATCCCTCTACTATCAGCTTCTGGTGTTTACAGCTGGTGTGGAGGGTTTGAGACAGATAATGTCTTGTTCTTGCTGGATCACTTTTCTTTGATTTGGAATCTGGCATTTACCTCCCAATCCACAATCAAAGATCTCAAATATGACTCAATATCTGGGAACATTCAGTTCCCAGGCCTGAATTCTCCATGATCTTTGCTCATCATGCAGATCAAAAACCTTCTGATCATTAGCTGCTACCATGACAGCCGTTCTCCTTTGAACTCCGCTTCAAGTCCTGCCAAATAGCATCCTTATGTTCGATGCTGATAATAATTATATTATTTTATTATAGATAATAGCCACCCAATCAACAATCAGACTCAATATCTGGGAACAAACAGCTCCCAGGCATGAATTCTCCATGACCTTTGCTCATCATGTAGATCAAAAGCCTTCTTCTTACCAGTAGCAGATGACTTTATTTTAGTCATGTTAGTGACATATACCAGTGGCAAATGTTTCCCACTGTTTCTCTTCCAACCTTATATCCCAGCCGGTGAAACACTTTCTTCTGATCCTTCTCAGCTGCTGTCATCACTGGTGTCCACCCATGTCGCCCTCTACTCTCAGCTACTGGTATTTATAGCTGGTGTGGAGGGTGGGTGACAGATCATGTCTTGATCTTGCTGGGTCACTTTCTATGATTTGGAATCTGGAATTTACCTCCCAATCCACAATCAAATATCTCAAATATGACTCAATATCTGGGAACATTCAGTTCCCAGGCCTGAATTCTCCATGATCTTTGCTCATCATGCAGATCAAAAACCTTCTGATCATTAGCTGCTACCATGACAGCCGTTCTCCTTTGAACTCCGCTTCAAGTCCTGCCAAATAGCATCCTTATGTTCGATGCTGATAATAATTATATTATTTTATTATAGATAATAGCCACCCAATCAACAATCAGACTCAATATCTGGG